ATGTGTGAGGCACCTTTGTGGGATGATCTCCATGTATTGGAAGTGCCATTGGTTTGCCAGTATAGATGTATTTGGCAAACAATACATGTATGCGGAAAAAAGTCAATGTTCCTTCTGCACGCATCTAAAACGTACACAAGATCAAGAGTCAACCAAACCTCGCTCCTTCATTTTAAACAGTAATCCCTCTGCGCCCGTATTAATCAAAATCCAAGCCGAACCTTACCGTGAATTCACCTATACATTAAACAGTCAGTATCCGTGGACTTCAAAGTTCACATGGGCACAAGCGACCATTTTATCAGTTGTCACGCAGTAATACCTGTTACTGGAGTGCAGAAATAATCCTTTTCGACGGTAAAACGACCCCATTTTTAAGGAACATCCCAAAGGATGCCGCATGTCAAAATGTTTTTCACAGCAGAGAAGCCATTTATGTGTAGTATAGCGTATTACGGCTTGATAAAAAGCATGAAGCAACTTGAGTCGTTTGCACGGCGCAGTAATACCTATCACAAGTTAGTCCATGGGTTTGCTTCTCACATAGTTTTACATCGGAGGGAAAATATCTGCGCTATCAGCCCGAATTGCACCAAGAAAGATAAGTATATGTGAGTTTTGTTGTTAGTTTCAAAACAGGCCCCACTCCAGGCTCATGATAAGATTGACTGTGAAGCATGTGTATGCGTTTTAACTTCTCAATTATAATTTCGTTGGTGATAACATCTGTTTCCGGAAGAAATATTTTCAGCAAAAAGACTGTGAAAAAATTTAGTCTCTAGATTCAATATGTCCTCCAACCTGCTCCACTGAGGTTTACTTAGCTTCAGTAACTGATTTGACATAATCTATCAACTTGTTTTATGAATAGATTTAAAAAGCTAGGCCGGAGAGTACATTTTAGTGCTTGGCTCATTTGGCACATGATTTAAGAGACTTTTAGCGAAGCTGCCCAAACGTAGTTGGCTCTGTAAATGGCTTTTATACAGCTCTTGATAGGTAAGCAAATAGAGACCTGATAGAGGTAAGTAATCCTGGCTTAAATTAATGACCCTGCATAGAAATGAATATGCACCATGTCCTAAAACTGCCCTCAAATTTTAACAACTGAAAGCCGTGTTAGGTTTTCCTTTATTTCACATTCAACCCATTAGGACTTATAATGACAGACAGACTAAGTTTCAGACCTAACAAGACGAGACACCATCGTGATGTTGAATCTAACCTCGCGATCTTACCAGAAAGCGGTGCCCTAGTACTGAATTGCCGAAAACATATGTTTGTCCATTGAATTTTCAGGTGTAACATAGGAATATTCGTAGATCTATGATATGAGTTTCGCGGACTAACCCCCTGTTTGTGGTAGTAGACCGTTTTACAGGGATAATTAAAAGGAAATTCTACATCGAAAATTGGCAACGGTCGGTGAAAGTAGAGGAATAATTTTAAAAAATGATGCCTTAAAATTTTTAATGAAACCCTTCCTTATATTTATAATCCTATTGC